GCACAGAATTCTACAATTTTTCTGTTATCACAGTGTAGAATTCTGTGGTTTAGGGTGAACGCGCACCGGGTGAGAATAGCCACAAGACTCGCCTGCACTATTCTCACTCCGGGTGAGAATAGAGGTGGCCGCCTTACGAAATCACAAGAGTTCCCCTACCGGGTCTGTATACTTTGTGACTTTGTTCCCGGTTACCGGGTCTGTATACACTCCCTTACACAATACAGTCAAACCTCGTTATGCACCTTGGAGAGTTGGTGAAAGAGCGGGCCAGGGCTGGCGGTTCAACAGGGTTTCTCTGCCCGTCAAGGAACATGATTCTGCTGTGCAATCTGTTTGATTTTGTTGGTGATGTAATGCACATGAATTCAGAGTCAAAAGTTCTCTAGATCTAGATCTAGATCTAAATCTGTTTTTCTTGTGGGAGAAAGATATTGGGTATTTTTTTTACTTTCCCTTGCGTCTCACACTTAACTACCAGTTGTCCGTTTTCTACTAAATTACTAAATATTGATGCGCTGAACACGAATATCAATTTCATTTCCGTCGCAAATTAATAGTTTTTTTAAATATTTGATTGTTCTTAATCGAGATAAGACGTGCTTTGGACCAATCGGGGGTTCCAGGGGGGGCCCCCCCTGAGGTAAAAGAAAGAAAATCTTGGGGGTTACAGGGGGGCATGATTTGATATTTTACAGTTAGATTTGAAATTTTCTGGAAAATAATTGATTTGCGACAGTTTTAGTGGCTTTATTTGTGATCTGCAACAAACAGTACTGCAGTTGGACCCCTGAAGTAGTGCATCTGTGTGCGAGAGTGAAAGTAAAAATTTACCGATTATTGGGTAGCCAACCAGTGGGTGTTGGTTGTGTGCAGTGTGTGGGCTATCTCTGGTGGTATGTGGTGGGGGGGGGGGGGTGAACATTTACAAAACTAGTTAACCCTTTGGCACTTAGCAGGCTTGGCCAGCTGTGGCCCCCCCATCATTTAGAGATGGGAAATAACTCCGCAAAAATTGAAGGTGTACCTTTCTTTTTAAAAATTTTATAAAATCGCACACAACCTAGTGATGAAAATAGTATTTTCTGAAAGGAAAATGAATGGGCTAGATAACCAAGGCAAAATTGTACGTGAAATGGAAGAGTATGAAATGATATGGGAGGTCTTTCTGAGATGTGTGTCTTGGATACCGAGAGTGCTCCTTGTAGGGAAGAAGGGTATGGTTGTAAAAATATCATATAAAATCACAAAAACAAACCACAACAAAAACAAGGACAGTCTCAGAAGGAAAATTGAAAATAGTATACAATAATAATTAAGTGAGCAAAGAAAGAAAATAAAACAAGAGGTGGTTGGGTGGACATTGAGGCATGTATTTTTTCAACTCACCAAGTTTCTTTTTTATAGGGCATCATCAAATACTATTGCAGGTTTTTTGTCATTTTTCTAGCATTTAAATACAATTTGGTGTTACTGAATAAATTTCTTCTGCTACGGTACTACCTTTACTTTTATGACAATTTATCTTGCCTTGTAATTTCAATGAATTTAGTGTTACTTGTAAAGATTTTGAGTCCATTCATTCATGTTTGTCATTTCTTTACAGGTGAACGTTCCGAAGTCACGCCGGACCTTCTGTAAGGCTAAAAAGTGCAAAAAGCACACCACCCACAAAGTTACCCAGTACAAGGCTGGAAAAGCATCCCTGTATGCTCAAGGTAGGTTATTCTTCAGCCAATTTTCACTGTTAATGGTTTTGTCTGACTGCTGTGTGGTTATGGTTTATAAATATATTTTTTTTCCCCAGTACATCCTCATACTTCTGCAAGAATTTTTTTGTTGGTAGTTTGTCGCTGCAGCCTCTGACTCTGAAAATAGCATGGTTTTTTGTTGTTGTAAGAAACTGTTTAGTTTTCATACCAACTGTAAGTTTGTAGGGGAGCCACACAACTGTCTGGGAAGGGAAATAAAAATTCGGTTTTCCTAAAACGGTGGGATCTTATGTACAGACTTCTGTATTAATTACAGTCAGTAGACCAAATGAAAAAAATGAGGGTGTGCCAGTGTAGAGATTTGTCTTGTCTTCTTGAACATTTTTTTCTCTGCTTTACATCAAGTTCCTGTTCTTGCTAGCATCATCTCACAGTTCCTCTAATATTGCTCGGCTTGTGTAAATCTTTCCATTCTTTTGCAGGAAAAAGGCGTTACGACCGGAAACAGAGTGGATACGGTGGACAGTCCAAACCTGTCTTCAGGAAGAAGGTTTGTCAATTTCTTTGTATGGGTTTGGGTTGTACGGAAAATGGGGAAGTACTTATGTTTTAATTAAGCAAGAGATCTTTTATGAAGTATAAGGCCCTGTCACTGTTGGCTGTTTCCTTTGGTGACAGGAGTTCTCAATTTATTTATAGCTTTACATTCAGAATAGTTGGCTTTGTGGTGATATTTGGTATCATGGATTAATGCTGGGGGTAGGACAGGTGACTGAAGGTCTTCCCATATTTGTTTTGTAATGTTTGCGTTAACAGGGGTGGACAGTGTATGCTGGAGAACGGGTGTTCTGTTACTTTATTATTTTGTGTCAGTTTGGGAGGGTGTGTTGGTGTCCTTGTCTGTTACAAGTGAATATAGCCAACAGCAATAGAATGGATTTGTTTGCCTTTTTATATATATTTTAGTTTTTAAAAATTCCCAACATGGTTTGAAAAGATCTACTATTGACAGCAAGTCGGTTTTAGTGGGTGGTTGGCGGGTGCTCTGATGTTGTTTGCTCTTTCTTTCCTATCAAAGATCTATCGTCCTTATCTCCCTTTCTTCTTTTTTATGTTTGTGTACTCTCTTGTAACACCTCTAATCTTCTGCCGCTCATATGACTTTATGCAGTTGCGAGCGCCGTAAAACCTCTACTTTTACAAACAAGATCAGGTGGTTTGCATAATTAATTACTCTTTCCATGTTGCACCGTTGTCTTTGGTAGAGTGAAGGAGACATGAATCATGAATATAAAGGAAAGAGACTTTTAAAAACCCACTCAGATTACTTTATGTCATGTCCATTTTATCCGATGAAGGTTTTTGCCTTTTCCTGCTACAGTGGACTTGTACTGGACTCTTATCTTTGGTCTTTGCTCTGACTTATCCAGTTGTTCTTTTTGGCTTTCCCCAGGCTAAGACAACAAGGAAGATTGTGCTCCGTATGGAGTGCACAGAGTGCAAGTACAGAAAGCAGCTGCCCATCAAGAGGTGTAAGCACTTTGAATTGGGAGGTGACAAGAAGAGAAAGGTAATGAAGCATTTCTTGTCAGTCAAAAAGTCCCTAGTGGGTGGTTGGTGGGTGCTCTGGTTTGATTTGCTCCTTTTCTATCAAACATCTTTCATCCTTATCTCTCCTCCTTCTTTACTTTGTATATTACTCTCTAGTAGCACCTCTAATCTTTGGCACTTATATTAATTGACCCATTTGCATTGCAAGTGTCATGAAACTCATAACAATGGCTGGTTGGCGGTTTACTCCTTCTTTCCTATTAAAAGTCTCTCTTCTCTATCTCCCCTCCTTCTTTTTTGTTTTTGTTACTCTCTTGTAACACTTCTAATCTTCGGTGCTTATATGACCTTATTGTGTTGCGAGTGCCGTAAAACTCTTACTAAAACTATCAACTCATAAACAATTAAGACCCAAGTGCTGCTGTATATGTATATGGGCCCACTTGTTTCACTGTTGCAGTAATAAAAAGTGAACATGCTCCAAATCAACAGATATAATGGAAATAACAATTGCGTTGTCTGAGATTGTGACTCTTTGATTTAGATGAGGGTATGCTTTCTCTTGCTCCATGAAAAGCATTTTTGTGTTGGTATCAGGAATTGGTTTTTAACTATTTTTGTTTTTTTTTAAATTTTTTTAAAGATTCTAAACATTTTTGGCGGGATATAGTTTTGTGCACATTTTTGTCTATGGTTTGGGGGGGGGGAGGTCGTCTGTGGGTTTATGACCGGTACAATAGAGTCCCGTTTGCATCGAAATCTGTGAGACCATTGGATTTTCTTCATTTTAGGCAGGATTTTTTTCTAACCAAGCATGTTGAGTTTGAATGGGCTCCGCTGTATTAACTGATAACCTTTTGTTTGTGTCTTGTCTTTATCTCCTGTCTGCAGCTCTTCATCTGTGTGTAGACCTTTTGAATTTGACTATGTACCAGTACTGACATTTTGTTTTCTTTCTTTCTTTTACAGGGCCAGATGATCATGTTCTAGACTGCACTTCCTAAATAAATATGTAAAAAAACAACACAATCTTTTGATTCTTGTGGCAATTTTTAATAACCATGTACCAGGATAGTCAGAATTTCTGTGTTTCTCTTTTCCCTATTCTTCCTAAAGGGTGGCGCAGGTGGTAATTCTGTATTTAAAGTTTCAATTATTGAAAGCAAATTACGACAAACATGGGCCTCTTGGATCGATGATGCTCATTAGACATCTGTCATAAATTGTCTCGCAGCAATGTATTATACTTATAGACTTCCCTGAGCGACTGTGGTTTAATTTCAGATGAAAGAAATCTTTAGCTTGATGCCATTGAAATGTGTTGGCATAGCTTATATTAGTTTTACTATGGCCAACATTGAAAACTAAGCAATTGGAGGACAGCGCTGGCGGGTCCTGCATCCGATCTAATTTTTCACTCTGTTTCTGTCTTCTTGCTTCTGCCCTGCACTATATGACCATTATTGTGTCAATATGATTCTCTTTGCTCAAGTGGGTCGTTGGCGGGTACTCTAGTGGGGTTTGCTCCTTCTTTCCTATGACATCTGTCGTCCTTATCTCCCCTCCTTCTATTTTGTGTTTGTTACTCTCTTGTAACACCTATTCTTCAGCGCTTATATATGACCTTATTGATTGTGTTGCAAGTGCTGTAAAACGCTTACTAAAACTAAAAACTAAACTCTTTACTCAAGCAGAAGCTAAGCTGTCTAAAAAGCATTTCTCTACATGAGGTGTTTCAATTATCATTAGACTTCAGCCTTCCTGCTGTTGTTGGAGCTCATAACGAGACAATTGTTTCCCGTCACTGTTCAGCTGGCGATGCCGTTTGACTCTCGTGACCTTGATTGAACCCTGGAGTAGTGACCGAGTTCTGTACTGTCGTGGACAGAGCTTTCTGTTCCTGCAGTCTGGTTAGGTTGAGTATACCACTAGTGCTCATTTGATGGGTAGTCAACCTTGGTGGGTCGAGCATGAAGTTGGCGGTAGTATGGCGGAGTTCTAATGCTATTGAAGAGCCCAGACTGCCAAAAGCAAAGCAAACTGATTCTGCCTTCTGCTGTGTGATCTGCTGGTTTTTGGTGGTGATTCTCTTTCTCTGTCTGTCTATCCATATCTCTCTCTCTCTCTGTCTGTCTGTCCATATATCTCTCTCTCTCTCTCTCTCTCCATATCTCTCTCTCTCTCTGTCTGTCTGTCTGTCTGTCTCTCTCTCTCTCTCTCTCTCTCTCTCTCTCTCTCTCTCTCTCTCTCTCTCCATACTGAACATTACATGGAGGCCTACTGCACTGCTGGGTCAGAGGCGGCTTTGCTACCTCAGAATTACAACGTTCTATCTGCACCGTATACCTACCTAGTTTGAGAAAGCTGATGTTCGTTAAATTATATTTTTTTCCTGTCATGTCGAGATTTTTCTAAAAATGCAATTTTCTTTGAATCATGGTGAATGTCTTAATGATTATTGACTCCGAATTATCTTACGATTTTGATAGCACGGAAAGACCACTTGGTTTCTGACCTCATTGGTCTGCTTCTTCTTAGTGAATCAAAATAACCAAAAATGTCAGAACTTCGTCCTTCTGAGGTTGCGACTTGTCACAGTCAAAAGCATGCTGCCTGAATTCCTCAGCATATGAAAAAGCAAAGTAGACAGCGGGTGGGGAGGGAGCTAGAGGACAGGCTCCAGCTCACAACAGTTGTGTTGTATGAGAGAAAGGGAGATTTTAACTGCGCAGCTGCAGTGTGTATTGCCATTGCTACCGTTACAAGAAGAATCAAACGGGAAGCGGTGTTAATACAGTGGAACTCGGATTCAACGAGGTCTCCGGGCCTGACCTACAATCTCGTTGAATCGGAGTGTTCGTTCGTTATAGCAAACATGAGGTTTTTTGTAGATAATTACGGGCACTGAGCAAGTAAAGTGTAAGGGTGACCTTATTTAGGCCACACTGTGGCCCAAATAAGCTAAACCCCCCTCCCTTACCTTATTTAGGCCACATCATATAGTAGATTTCTTGAACTAACCATGGATTCGGAAGGTCGAGATATATTCTACTGATCTGTTTACTTAGTGTGGGGGATTATTTCAAAATAGAGGATGATACTAAATGAAAAGTGGACCAAGGGTAAGAAGAAGAGTTGTGTAAGTGTTTGTTTTGTGTGTGGTTGTGGTGAGAGAGAGAGAGAGTAAATGTAATAGTGTGTGTGTGTAATGTGTGAATGTTATTGTTTGTGTGCATGAGTGTCTATCTCAGTTGTACGATCCAAATGTACATTATTTTGTTGAGAATTTTACATAGAACTCAACTACAAAACACCTACAAATTACAAAGTCACAGAAATATTCTTTTTGTGCTTATTGAGGTGCAGTACAGGGTGATTTTACCTGCAAGGATAATTGGACAAAATGGGCAAAACCTTTATAATCTAATACTGATGGTCATATTTAGACAAATCCTATATCATCATTCTCTTTTTTTTCTTAACAGCTCATGGTTATTAATTATTAAAGAGTAAGCAAGGTAGTAATTTCGGATTCCTAATATTATGGGCATTCTTGATTAATAAGCTAAGTACTGTATAAACAAGCCTTCTCTTAACGGATAATGTTGATAGTTGATAAAGATACATGTAATAGACAAAATTTGTAAAGTGAAAATGCCTGCTTAAAATGCACTTTACAATCGAATTACCCCAGCAGACCTGATAGGGATAGTGAATGAAAGCAATCTGAAACAATCTCCACTTCGTGGGAAGCAAACAGACGGACCAGGCTCACCTTTGATACAAGCAGGTACATGTAATAAAAGCAGAACTAATGCTCACTGGGCTGGGTGAGCCCACACCACACCCAGCCATAGTCATAGTACAGGTAATAAGGTCGCTTTTAAGCGCAAGGGGGCTATCCCGAAAAATGTTGTTTTGAGATAATCAAAGGTAAAGTTTTTGCCTTTTACTTTTGTTCAGTTTCTTCAAAAGACAAGGACAGTTTTCTCTATAACAACAACAAAATATAAAAATACACACACACCCTTTTCCTTATAAGGTAGTGCAATGCCCACTTTTGGTGTAGGTCAAGACTTCTGGAAACCCCCGAAATCTGGCTTGGCCTGCTTGTCCTTAAAAGCGACCATATAATAATAATACAGTGGAACTCGGATTCAACGAGGTCGCCGGGCCTGACTTAAAATCTCGTTGAATCCGAGTGTTCGTTATAGCAAACACGAGGTTTTGTGTAGGCAATTACACTGTCCTCAGAGAAATTCGCGCGCGCAACCCGCAAGTTGCGCACGCAACTTTTGCCATTTTCGTGAATTCGCGAATTTTAGGCAATTTTCATCAAAAGTTGGAAAAATAATCATTTAATTTCGGTAAAAATAACTGAAATGTTCTTCCTCAACTAAAAATAGCGACGAGAAGGGGGACAATTCGTACCGTACCTGAAATTAGATCTGCCACTTCTTTTGCACTTTGCACTACGTGGATGAGATCGGGTTGGGATGATCGCCCGACTCTTTGCCTGAAAACAACGCCGCGTTTGTTTTTTTGAGGTAACGACTCACGAGTCGGGCGCGATCGATTTGTGCCACGATAGCCACTTTGCGCCATCAGTCTGTCGAGCAAACCGACCCGTCCCGACCTGACCTCCGCAATAGTCCTGTTTGGACTGAATCATCTTCTACTTCTTCTAGATCTTGCTAAATCTAGGCTGTAGATCTAGATGTCTATAGAGTAAACTCAAGGGTCGTAAACACGATCGTCTGATTACTTAGCTTGCTTGGTTCCGTAGCACCAGGTAGATAGATCTAGTATAAAAATTTGTGAAAGACTTAGTCTTAGGCCAGGAGGCTAGATCTAGACATGGATCGATTCATCCAGAAAACCCCTAAAGGGGTCGTTCAAATAAGAGCCATTGCCAAAAGGTCACCACTTCCTAAGTAGCAATACACCAAATTTTAAACACTCATATTTCAGCTTGTAAATAATTTTAAAGGAAACCCAGGGTTCTTCCTTTGCATGAAATTGTGTTGGCAAGATAACTTTCTCAACGGTTTTACTTGCAAATGATGTTTTCTGAGCCCTGTCATCTTGTTGCGGTTGTATCTCTGCACAACATGAAACAACCTATAGTAGCTGCAATTTTCACAGAAATAGTCTAAATTTTTACTTAAAACACCACACACATGCATGTGACAAAATGACAAGCAGACAATTCAAAAACTTTGAGAGGAAATTTTTTTATTTAGGCCAATCCGTGTTGCGCGAAGAAACACCACAAGACCAGTACGGTGATGTTTTTATTATTACTAAAATACGGAAAGCAGACATCCAGAATGTATTTTATTAGCTTAAGCACTATAATTACAGTCGTATTGAACAGAAAGAAAGCCAAAATGTCTGAAAAGTAAGCCAGTAGCCTGTTTACATTGTTGCGGTTGTATCTTGTCATCTGTTTCGGGTGTATCGTGTCGTCATACAATATGGATACTTTTCACAGGCACATGTTCAAGAAGACTACAAATCCATTTCAGGCCTTCAAATGCACATGTTTAATAGAATATTATTTCATCTGAGGGAAAAAATAAAATGTAGGTGGGTTTTTATTTTATTTTACGTCCACGTTAACTCAGTTTAGATGTGCCTAACCGCTGCACCACAGACACCAGTTAAAATAAAATGCATGTTTGATAAATACATGATGAAAAGCAAGTTGATAATATGTCTATTATTTTACTAAAATGTGAAAAACAAACAGTAAGAATGCAATTTATTATATTACAAAATTGAGTAATATGACGTTAAATACTGAACAAAAAGAAAAGCGCAATTCGGAAAGTAAACCTAATGTTTACTCTGTTTTGGGTATCCTCAGTACTCTGTGCACTGAGACTGGGTGGGTCAGCATAAAATATCAGTAGTACCAGTCTGTACACAAAGAAAGACAAATCGGTGCATTTAGCAGTTTTCTGTTCTGGGTGATAGTCGGGTGGGTATTATCAAATCTAACAGTTGAATGAAAAGTCAGTCATTGG